AAAAAAAAAAGAAAAAGAAAAAGATGTGGTCCTTATGTTTGTGCTTTAGATCCAGTTAGCTTACTCCGTTCTCCTGTCAGTAACTTCAGGAAGTAAGGTGAGTCCCAAGGGAGCAGGAATCACATGTAAGTCATGCTGAAGAGGCCTGGGGGACTCACGTCCCTCAGCCCCTAAAGACTTTCATGGCTTGGCAAAGAGAGAAATGCAAGCTTCAGTTTCATCTCTTGAAAATAGAGGACTTTAGCCAGGCAGGGGAGCACACATCTGTAATTCCAGTATTCTGGGAGGCTGAGGCAGGAGGATCACTGAGAATTTGAGGTCACCCTGGGCTGAGTTCAAGGATGGCATGGACTACATAGTGAGACTTTGTCTCCAAGAAAAAGAAAAAAAAAAAAGAAAGAAGAAAGAGAAACATGCACTAGAGAAATACTACACAGTGTGGCACACACCTGTAATCCCAGTACTCGGGAGGCTGAGGCAGGAGGATCGCTGTGAGTTCGAGACCAGCCTGGGCTACATAGTGAGTTCCAGGTCAGTCTCAACTACATAGTGAGACCCTGTCTCAAAAAACAAACAAACAAAAAGAAATACTACACAGCTATAAGAAGTAATCAGCAAATGTTATTCCTAGGCATAGGTGATCTTCATTGCCTGGGATGGTGCGACCTTAAACCCTTGTGATGTGGCCCCGGCAGCTTCCAGCCTGCCCACCATTTTCAAATTCCACGAAAGCGATTTTGTGCCGTCCGGGTACCGGGCGTACTTCCTTCCAGCCAGGGAACTGATTAACTGGCCAGACAACAGCAAGGAATAAAATAAAGCTTGGGGGATAATCCAGGACCTGAGGACTTGGCGCTGCATTTCCTTGGGTATTAGTTGCTCATGGTCCCTGGCCAGGCTTGTTTGTTTGTTTGCAGTTGTTACAGTTTGTTCCGCAGTTTGGGCTTTTTTGCTTTTCCTTGTCTGCAAAAGCGCCATGCGTTTTAGATATTCTATCAGAATCTGTTTTTTGCAGATTGTATTCGAGTTGGTTTACCACAAAGTGGGAGTCCTTGCAACTGTTGTAACTTTTGTAACTTCACTTGTCTTAACTTGTAACTGTGGATGAGCCCAGTTCTTTAAATATAACAAAGGCCTGGCCTGGCACCTTCATAGTCTTTAAAGCCATAACAGCTGCCGCATGCCGGAACGGAGAAAACAGGGTATACAGGGATCCCTTCAATTGTTTTTTAATTTTGTCATTCATATCGTTGATATAAATTGTATGATTTAGTCTAATATCCATGCCTGGGTAACAGAAATTGTATGCAGTCCACAAACCCTAAAGATTATTTCTTCAAATAACCTTTACGCCTGGTCTTTTCCAAACTCCAGCAGCTGAGGGTCTGGCCGAGCAGCCCCGGGAAACCCAACAGCCAGGTACAGAGTGACCCAACCCGCCCGAGGCCTAGCCACCTTCTGTAAGAGTGCAAGGATAGGGCCGGGGATTTAGCTCAGCGGTTCGGTGGCCTGCCTCGCAAGCGCAAGGACCCGAGTTCAATCCCCGGTACCAAAAAAAAAAAGAGTGCAAGGCTCAGTGGTGAGTGCTTGCCCGGCATGCAGGAGGCCCTGGGTTCCAATCCCATGTACATGGTCACTTAGACCCATACTTGCTACTTCTCATGTACTCAAAAAGTTTGAGCTGCCATTGTCTTTATTATTATTATTATTATTATTATTATTATTATTATTATTATTATTATTATTGTACCAGGGATCGAACTCGGATCCTTGCACTTGCAAGGCAGGCAGTGGAACCGCTGAGCTAAATCCCTGGCTATATTATTATTATTATTATTTCTTATTTTGGTTTTTTGAGACAGGGTCTCACTATGTAGTTGAGGCTGACCTGGAACTCACTATGTAGCCCAGGCTGGGCTCGAACTCACAGTGATCCTCCTGCCTCAGCCTCCCAAGTGCTGGGATGACAGGCGTGCACCACCATGCCCACTGTTTATTATTATTTTAATAACTACATTGATGTCTCGCCTTCAGAGAAAAGGATAAGGAAGCAGACTATTTTTCTTACTGATTGGGCAATAAACACACTTTGACATTCACCTACTTTGATTATGGAACTGGAACCAGACGGGATCCCCAGACGCCCGTAATACAAATGATCCTCCCGGGTCAACACGGCCAGCCCATTCTCATCTAGGGAAGACAAACAAAACCGGAAATGATGGTTGTTTTCATGAACCAAAAGAAATCATTCTTAAAGGTTTCACACTGAGTAATATTGGGTAGAAGGAGCAGAGGGGCCCACTGTCCAGGGGCTGTCTCTGTATTTTGAGTTTCTGCATCATGAACTGCAACCTAACTTTGCACACAAACCATAACTCTGTATTTTTGTAACAGATAGCCAAGCCCTCAGCCAATCACAAGTGGTGGAGCTTCAACGAATCACAAACTTCAACCAATCAGAAGCAGTCAACTGATCAGATGCTGTCCAAATTAGGCAACTCCTAGGTATGTATAACCAATCAGGTTTTTCTGTGTCACTTCCCGATTGAGGCTATAAATGCACACTGTTTAGAACCAGGGAAGTGGCTGGGCAGAACAGCTACTCTCCCACAAAGCCGAAATGGCTCCATAGCAAAAATAGGATTGGCAATTCTTTGGGGTAAGTACCCAGATGTGGAATTAGTGGATTGTAGGAGAGTTTCATGCTTAATTTTTGGTTTTTTTTTTTTTTTGAGACACAGCCTTGCTATGCATTTCAGGCTGACCTTGAACCCACTATGTAGCCCAGACTGGCCTCCAACTCACAGTGATCCTCCTGCCTCAGCCTCCCAAGTGCTGGGGTTACAGGTGTGTGCCACCATGCCCGGACATATTTAATTTTTTGAGGCAATGCTAGATTGTTTTCCACAGTGGCAGAACCATTTTATTTTCCCATCAGCAATGCACAGAGTTCCAACATCTCCACATGCTGCGAATCAGTTAGGATTTTCTTTTTGGGTCACAGCCCTTCTAATGGGTGCCTGGTGCTACCTCATGGGTGTTTGTTTTTCTCTTGCCATTCTGGGGATAGAACTCAGGGCCTCACACATGACAGACAAGTGTTGTACCACTAAGCTCCCTCCCCAGCTTCTTGTAGTTGTTAAATTTTAAGGCTGGGTCTTGCTGAGTAGCCAGGCTGGTCTCAGATTTGCAACCCTCTTGCTTCAGCTTCCTAGGTTGTCAGGATGACTTGTACATCCTGACTCCTGTGTTCACTGTGGCATTTACAAAGCCCAAGATGTGGAAATAACCTAAGTGTCTGTTGACAAATGAATGGGTAAGGAAAATGTGTCCACCCAGACAAAGGAATATTACTCTCCTCTCAAAAGGATGAGATCTTGCAATACACAACAAAAGGGATGAGCCTTGAGAGTTTTGTATAGCAGGGTAAATACTGCATGATTCCATTTATACTTGGAATCTAAAATAGTTAAAGAAGCCAGGTGTGGTGGTGCACGCCTGTCATCCCAGCACCTGGGAAGCTGAGGCAGGAGGATCTCTGTGAGTTTGAGACCAGCCTGGCCTACGTAGTGAGTTCAAGGCCAGCCCGAACTACATTGTGAGTCTCTGTTCCCCCCAAATAAATAAATTAATTAAAATAGTCAAAGAAAAAGCCAGATGTAGTAGTGTACCCGGCTAATCCTAGCTACTTGGGAGGCTGAGGTAGGAGGACTGCATTCCAAAGCCAGTGTGGGAAACAGCAAGATCTTGTCTCAAAATAAAAAATTAAATGGGGTAGGGATATAGCCCAGTGATAAAGTGCTTGCCTCACATGCAAAAGGCCCTGTACCACCCAGGTAGATAAATAGATAGAGGACGGGGGATTTAGCTCAGTGGTTCTGCCGCCTGCTTTGTAAGCGCAAGGACCCGAGATCGATCCCCGGTACTGAAAAAAAAAAAAAAAAAAAAAGATAAGTAGGCAGAGTCACTCAGAAAGTGAGGGGCTTGCGACGGGAGGGAGGAGGGGAAGACAGTGATGTGTTGGAGTCCTTAGCTGAAATATTAAATTAGGCCGAAAGATACTTATGAAATTCATTCCATTGCAAATTTTGAGGCTCATCCTTTGAAGCTGGAGAGAGGACTTGGTCAGAGCAACTATCTGTGCAATGTAAAAAAAGGAAACGTAAGGCCGGGAGTGGTGGTGCATGCCCGCTATGCCAGCGCTTAGAGAGGCTGAGACAGAAGGACCACAAGTTCAAGGCCCATCTGCGAAATCTAGTGAGACCCTGTCTCCAAACCAAAAAGATTTTTTAAAGGCTGGAGATGCAGCTCAGTGGTAGTACAGCCCTAGGGTTAGTCCCCCAGTACTGGAGGTGGGGGAAGAGCAAGAGAGAGCAGCAACTTTAAAAGATTACATGTCACTGGTATAAGCATACATTTGTTTTTATATAATTCATTTCTGTATAAATTAATTGAAAAAAAATTTTTGAGACGGGGTCTCACTACGTAGTTGAGACTGACCTGGAACTCACTATGTAGCCCAGGCTGGTCTCGAACTCCCAGCGATCCTCCTGCCTCAGCCTCCCGAGTGCTGGGATGACAGGCGTGCGCCACCCATCCTGGCCATGAATTGATTTTAAACTGCTAAGTGAACGTAGAAGGGAGGGGTGTGATGCGATGATTAGCAAATAGGGGAAACACTGACTTTTGAGTGAAGCCCTTCCACAAACTGTTGTGGTGCTTGCCTCAAAGTCTCTGAGGCAGTAAATGTATTAGGAAGAAAATTACCCCGGCAAATTTCATCAAACAGGCTGAACCAGTTCCCCCAAAGATGTAGAACAAAATGGCCATGGCACGATTTACTAGTGAATTAATCCTGAGGGCGCCATGTGTTCAGAAGTGAACCGAACGAACTCCGCCTGGTGCAGAAAGTTGCTCGATTTCTGATGTCCAGCAACCTCAGAATGTGGCCTTCCAGACATCCTCGACTTCCGACCTTTGGACTCATGAGCTCTTCTCTTTATGATGGCCAGCGCTCCCACCCAGCTGTTCTTCTCAAGTTTCAGTACGGGTTTAATAAACTACACATGATGTTAGGGCTCAGCCCGGTGCAGTGGCACACACTTACCACGCCTGCTGTCTGGAAGGCTGAGGCAGGAGGATTGCAAATTTGAGCCTGGCCTGGGCAATTTAGGGGGCGGGTCCTGTCTCAAAATAAAAGAGCTGGGAATGTAGCTCAATGTGAAAGCCTTGTTCAATCCCCAGTGCTACAGAGAGATGAGAGAGATAGATAGATAGATAGATACATACATATATACATACATACATACATAAGCCTCTGTCAAATAAGTTTGTCCCTCCTGGGGCTATTCTGAGCCCATTAATGTGGGCCGGGCTGAAGTAGAACATTCAACAGGTGAGGTTTATTCAGTGAGCTTTCAACTTAACAGTATTTCACGCTCACAGTGAATTCCCTGGGATGTCACCCCATTGTACGCAGGGGAGCATTTGTACTGGGAGACGGTCATCTCCAAGGTAAGCAAATTAAAGTAAGGTCATGAGGCTGGTCCTGGGTCCAACCTGGGTGGGGCCCAGGTGGCGATGGAGGATCGGGACGCAGAGACAAAGGAGTAGGAGGGAGGACAAGGGAGGAGTCACGTGGAGAAGACAGCCATAGACAGCTACAGTGAGCCCAGAGGCCCCAGAAGCTGGGACAGAACCTGGAACACCTTCCCCCAGGGCCTCTACAGGGAGCCGAACCCTGCTCACGTCCTTGATTTCAGACTTTGGGCTTCCAGGGCTATACAGCAATAAATTTCTGTCGTCCCTTTTCTGTTTCTTCATAGTGCTAGGGACTGAACCTAGGGCCTTTGCACGGGAACTACCTTCCCAGCCCTTTTGAATTTTTTTTTAAACTTTGAGAGAGTCTTGCTCTTTGCCCAGGTAGGACTCCCACTTGGATCCTCCCGCCTCAGCCTCCAGGGTGCTCTTATAGGCATACACTACCACACTCGACTTAAACTTCTGTTGTCCTAAGCCACCCAGTTTGTGATCCTTTCCGTGAGCATCAGGGTCTGGTTGGGTTCAGGCTGGGCACATACAGACAGCAATGTTGTGGACAGTGACATTGGCACCAAAGATCGAAGGGTGCAAAGTCTGGCCTCCTTTCTGCACCTGGATGGTGTCCACGATCTGACCTAGGAGACAGGAGGGGAGTTGTCATGAGGACAAGTACACATCCTCCAAAAGGAGATGCCAGCCAGGAGCGGTGGTGCACACCTGTCCTCCCAGGAACTCAGGAGGCTGAGGCAGGAGGGTTACAGGTTCAAGCCCAACCTGGGTAACTTAGAGACCTGGTGAGATCCTGCCTCAAAATAAAAAGGGCCAAGGGTGTAGCTCAGTATGAAGGCCCTGGGCCCAATCCCCCCCACACCACCACCAAAAACAGGTGAGAGGTGGAGAGGCCCAGGTGCGGTTGGCCGAGCACAGTGGGCTCATGGTCCGCTCGCGTTTCTGGGATGCCTGTACCCCAGCACCCCTGCGCCAGGCTGTTTCCCGCCCACCTGGAACAGGCGCTACCTGGGCCACAGGAGGGGGCTGAGCACCTGCGCTGAGGGACGAGAGGAGACTGTTCTGGCTCCAGAGGATCAGTAAGCCTCGCTGGCCTGGAGGAATGAGGGCCTGGAGCGTCTCGTTGTAGTCAAAGGCCAGCCCCAGGCTCCGGGTGAGGGGGTGGTCGGAGTAGGCGAACATGCCCTGTGAGGAGGAGGCCACTGAGTCCCTGCAGCGGTTGTCACAGGGCAGCAGAGTGGGGTCAAAAGATGCCCTCAAACCCTCCCCTTGAGCACTGCAGGGCCCAGGACGCCCACAGAGAAGGCCCTGGCCCGGCACGCACAGTGCTGACGGAGACCTCTCTTCTCCGCAGCCCACACTGTCTCTTGCTATGGTCTGAATGTGCTTTGCCCTCCGGAAGTCTGGGTGCCGGAGACCTGAGCCCATGTGACAGTATTTAGAGGTGGCAGAACTTCTAAGAGGTGGCGACTGGTGGGAAGTGATTCTGTCGCCTTTCCAAAGGCTTAATGCCCATCTCCGGGGACCGTGTGGGGCCTCTCGGGGCTGGACTGGTGGCCAAGAAAGCAGGTTGTGTGTTTACCCTCTCGCTGTGGAAGGCCACCCACCACGGATGTCAGAATGTTGGGAGGCTTTCGTTGGATGTGGCCATCAGGGTTTGGGCTTCTCAGGCTCAAAAATCAGAATCTGGGGCCAGGGATTTAGCTCAGTGGTTCTGCCGCCTGCCTCAAGCACAAGGACCTGAGTTCAATCCCCCATACAAAAAAAAAATCAGAATCTGAAATGTGGGAAAACTGAAACTCTCACCTAACAATAGTATGCAGAAAACTAGAAGTGGTTAACAAGGAGCTAATCTATCAGCTTAATGAAGCCACCGTCCAGCCCAAAGTGCATGTGAATACCTTTTGACCTTAGGAATCATAAAATACTACGGTGTCTAAACATTCTCTTGTGGTGTCTTTCTGCAGATGTTTCTTGTGTATCTACACAAGATAATGTGCTGATAGTGTGTGTATAAAGAACCAGGTTGCCTCAATGAAAGCAGACAGTCTTTGGTCTCCACTCTGCCTAGAGTGTCTTTCCTTTTCCATCCTCACTCTCTCCTTCAGGTACTGTTCGACTAGTTGGGGCTGCTCCCCCACACTGAAATAAACCTGTTTGCTTTATAAAGTACTCAGCCTGAGGTATTCTCTTACAGCAACACAAAATGGATGTAGATACCTCCGTGCACCCGCACTTTTATTCGGGTCTCTTTCTGCCTGTGCACGAGCTCACACACACACACACAGATGCTTTTCCTGAAAAACCCCCAGATAGTGGACCTTGCATCAACTACAAACTCCACAGAATGGCTCCTAAAGTCCTTGCTCAGCTGTTCATCATGGAAGACCCCAGGACAAAGCCTGAGTCCTTCCAAAAGCACCGTGTAAGGACAGAATAAAAAACCCATTGGGCCAGCAATTTAGCCCAGTGGCTCCACACCTATCTTGCAAGTGCTAGGTCCTGAGTTCTATCTCTGCTACCAGAAAAACAAAAAACAAAAACAAAACCATGGCCAGTGAGGCATGGCGGTGCCTGCCTGTGTTCCCAGTATGGGGGAGACTGAGGCAGGAGGATGCTGTGAGTTCAAGGTCAGTCTGGGCTACATAATGAGTGCAAGCTTAGCCTGAACTACATACTGAGACTCTAGCTCAAAAAAACAAAGTAAAAAAAAAAAAAAAGAGAGAGAGAGAGAAGTGTTAAGCAGTGTTTGATACGAGGGATTTAAAATAATTTTTGTACTATCCATGACACATGTACCAGATTTGTATTTTATCCCTGTACGCCTCACAGTGGTTAGCAGTCAGCAGACGCTATGTAAATACGGATGCATTCATAACCGAAGGACAGAAGGATGGAGGCCGGGAGGAGTTGGAAGTCAGAAATGGGCAGGAGGGTGGATGAGCGCACGCACGTTTGACTGGGTAGAGAATGGGACGGGTGGAGGGGTGGAGAAGCAGGGAAACTGATGGGGAGGTGAGGGGAGATCGACGGAGGCGTGGATGGCTGAGTGAGTGGATGGACAGACGGATGGCTGGCTGGACAGACGGACACACGGATAGACGGATGGATGGACGCGTAGGTGGTTCAGTGGATTATGGATGGACAGATGACTGGATGCAGCGGTTAGGTGGATGTATAAATAGACAAATGAAAGACAAGGTAGATAGATTTCAGAAATGGAAAAGCTAAACGTGTGAGTTTTAACAAAATCCTGTATTGGCCAAGGGTCATTAAGCAGTGTCGCGCAGTGCAGTCATTTTACCTTCCTGTTATTAACGACAAGCAGCCCGACCTGTGACAAGGAGTGAAGGAAGAAGATTCCCCCTAAGGATCCAACCAACGTGGCCTGTGAAATGATCACAAAATATTCCAGCGAATAAATATTATAGGTCAGTGGTGGCATTTGTGAGACCCTAGATTCCATGCCTCGGTCTGCAAAATCTTAAACCAAAACAAAAATAGTATAATAAGGCATCTATTATTATAATAAACAATATACTATGTGTTTCATTCTAAATTTAAGTCTAGATTCTCTAGTGAACTGAAAGGAAAAAGTCTTTTATTAAAAATCTATTTTCTGTCTTTGGAAGTACAAAGGCCTGCAGGAAGACAGCTCTCATCTGTGATCTCCGCACTGCAGGAGGCTGAGGCAGGAGGATCACAAGGCCCGCCCCCGCCCCCGGGCAACTAAGCAAGACCCCGTCTCATAACAAAAATAAAACAAAACTAAAAATGAAAAGGATGGGAATGTGGCTCATTGTGAAGGCCCTGGGTCCAGTGCACAGGTCCACCCACACAAAAAGCTCTGTTTTCAGGTGGTGGAGAAAAGCAGTACAACCCAGACTACCAGGCACCGGCCTAGATCTTCTGCATGCCCTCGTAGACCCCACGTTCCTGACTTCTGGATGGACAGGAGAGTGTCCAGCAGTCAACATGAAGAAGCATGAGACGGAGGTCCCCACCTAGGGATGGTGAGGTCACCATGGCGACCTCCCTGGGCCACCTCCGGGGAAGGGTCGCGTAGGTGGGGGGAGGGGCAGGGAGAGAAAGGCAACCTTGTTTATTCCTCGGCTACTTTGGGGCTCTTTACATAACCTGCTCTGACTCGCACGGATAGCTGGGCATCATGGTGACCTTCCTGTGCCCTCTCCCCAGCTACTCCGACCCCTTCCTCTCTGCACTCAGAACCCCCGGGTGAGTCTTCATCTCTGGGAGGGGATCGGCCTGTGCAGGATGAGGACGGGTCTCACTCAGCTACGTTGTTTTGTGTTTTCTTTTCACTTTCTTACTGATTGAACATACCTGTCTTTCATAGGTAAACTTTTGAAAACTGAATCCTCCATTATTTGAGACATAGATATTGGCTTGAGATATCTGCTCTCCGTGCAAGTATGCAAACACTGAGTTGCTTATCTCCTGGGAAGGAAACACACACAAAAACAATCTCTTTAAAATAAGAGAGAGGAGATGGGTGCAGTGCTGCATAAATTTTTTTTGTTTGTTTGGTTTGGTTTTTTGAGACAGGGTCTCACTATGTAGTCGAGACTGGCCCGGGACTCACTGTGTAGCCCAGGCTGGTCTCGAACTCACAGCGATCCTCCTGCCTCAGCCTCCCACCGCTGGGATCACACGTGTGTGCCTCCACGCCCAGCTTGTCTGTCATTCTTAATCTCTGTCATTCCTCACTCTGTGGACCCCTTAGCCAGGCAGGCCACGGCACCTCACCGTCTGGGGCATTTACCCCAAAGAAAAGAAAACTTTATGTCCACAGGCAAAACGGTGCAAGAATAGTCACAGGAATTGGCTTCTTTTTCTTTCTTTCTTTCTTTTTTTAAAAAAAACTATCTTTCTTTGCAGAGAGACAGCGTCTCGGTCTTTCGCCCGGGCAGGAGCACAGCGCTCTGCATAGGCATGATCGCCCTATGAGGCAGGAGATCAGGGCATGGGAGGCAGGAGGGACAACGAAATGTAACCTGTTAATTACAAAACACGGAAACAGTGTCTGGGCAACCTGGCCGTGACTGTCAGTCGTACGAAACGGTCACATCACTGCCAGGATTCACGGGCGGAATACTTTCCGGTGGACTGAGTCAGCGGAGATACAGAAGACGGCGATCGGAGCTGTAAGTCCCCTGCCTTCTAATAAACATTAGATGTCTGTGTTCATCAGTGTCCCAGCCGATCCTTTGGGCAGGACGGCAAAAGCCTAGAACCACCGGCTGCCACGTTACCTGGCAACACCTGTACAGGACAGTTTTGCTCTTGTTCTTGTTCTTCATCTTATTTATTTATTTTTTTGATGCTAGAGACTGAATCTAGGACCTTGCACGTGATAAGCACATGCTCTACCACTGTGCTACATCCCTGTGTCCCTGCAGGAGGTCTGTCCTGCTCCGTTTCCTTTCTGAGCGGGTTTGCCTCTCCTTAGGCAGCCTGAGGGCCCTCTGCTCTCAGGAAGTCACCACACAAACGCTAAATTTACCATGGATCCAAAATCAGCATAGTATATGTACTACAGCCTAAACTCCTGGGCTCAAGCAATCCTCCTGCCTCAGCCTCCCAAGTAGCTAGGACTACAATCACCAGGCCTTGATTTGCTGTGTGTTTTCTTTCCTTTCCTTTTTTTGTTTTGTTTTGTTTTTTAAGACAAGGTTTTGCTATGTACTTCAGGCTGGCCTTGAACTTACTATGTAGCCTGGGAGGGTGGCTCAAACTCACAGCGATCCTCCTGCCTCAGCCTCCCGAATACCAGTGTCACAGGCATCCACCTCTATGCCTGGCATTGCTGTTTTGTTTCCTGTGTGATCTCCGGTGTCTAGAATTGGACCCCTCACCCCCTGGGCCTCTGTGCAGTTGGAGAAAGGACCAGCCAATACCTGCACGTGTTCTGAGCGGCACTGCAGTTTTTCAAAACCCTTGGGTACTTGGTAGATCTTTGTTCATAACAGGCAAAAAGTAGAACCAAGCCTGGGGAGGTGACACCTACCTATATTCCCAGCTACTCAGGAGGCTGTAGCAGGATTGCAAATTCTAGGCCAGGCTAGGCAACTTATTGAGAACTTGTCTCAAAAGAAAAAAATCAAGAGGGCTGGGAATATAGCTCAGCACAAAGGCCCTGTGTGCAGCGCCCAGTGCCAGGGTGGGTAGGAGAAGGAAGAGGAGGAGGAGGAGGAGGAAGGCGAGACAGATTCACAGTTGTGTCCAGCAGATAATCTGAAAGTATCTCCGAGCTTCTCCCATCTCTCAGGTCCTCTTTGGAGCCCTGGGGCAATGATGCTGCCCAGGCCACAATGGTGCCAGCTTGCAGTCCCTTCTGTCCATCCACCCTGACTCGTATCCAGAACAGAGTGACAAGTGAAAGGTTCTACAGCATACTTACCAGGCAAAAGGTATTTCCAGCAAAACAACAGTTATCACCAGAAATATGTGAAACAGGGTGTTGAATACCTGAAAGGAAAAGATAATTAAAAAATAAAGATAAAAATAGAAGCTGGGCATGAAGACACACACACCTGTAATCCCAGCACTTGGGAGGCTGAGGCAGGAGGATTTCAAGTTTAAACCCAGCCAGAGAGCAACTTAGTGACTTCGTGAGACCATGTCTCAAGCCAGAGAGACTTAGTGACTTCGTGAGACCGTGTCTCAAAAAATAAAAAGGTGCTGGAGAGGAATGAAGATGTCAGGCTCACTGTGTGTCCCCCTGCAGGGCCATGGGATGTGGTGTGGCCACTCTGGTCATCAGTACCGTGGTTCATGAAAAAATTAAACACGGAATTCCCATGTGACGTGGGTTTAATCCACAACAGGGGCTCAAGGAGATTTGTGAGCACCCGCGTCCATAGCAGCACTGGTCACAGAAGCCAAACTGTGAGATGCCCACTCGCCCACGAAAGGGGGACTCACGGGAGGCAGTTCGTGCAGAGCAGTGTGGGAAAGGAGGGATTCGGACCCGCTGCAGCAGGGCGGGCCCTGAGGACGTCGTGTCCGGTGAGTGGATACAGACGCAGAACACACTGCAGGCTCCCGCTTCGGGAGGTGTCCGGAGGCACAGATCCCCGGAGACAGGAGGTGGGTGGTGGTGTTAGGGGCTGGGGACAGGGACACAGGCACTGCGATGACAGCTTCCCCATGGTGAGGGACACTGGACTGTGCCTCCCGGCCTCCCTGTTCTGGGGAAAAGAAGATCCTCCCTCTACTTTTCTCCTCCCTCGTTCCCTCCCTTCCTTCCTTCCTCTGCAGGACCGGGGATGGAACCTACGGCCTTCACGCTGACCTGCATTCCCAGCCTTTTTAATCCTTTGGAGACAGGGTCTTGCTAAGTACTCAACTCGCCCCAGCCTGGGCTGGAGCTTGGGATCCTCCTGCCTCAGCCTCCCGAGTGCTGGGATTACACATGTGTGGCACCATGCCTGGCTCCAAGCAGGCTTTTGTGTCTCGTAGCTACATCCCAGACAAAACCCCCTAGGTGTCTGCCCTGTTCGATGGGTTTGGGGGCAATTTTCACTTGGATTTCAAAGGGTAAAGTGATACCCAGGGCCCGGAGCCTATTTAGAGAGTATCAATTATACTTCCAAAATCAGGCACCTCTTCTTGGATACTGGCTACACTCAAAGTAAAAAACACAAAACACACAAGGTTGATTCCAACATACAGTGAACGTTTACACTGTTAAAATTTCATTACAGTAGAACACACACTGCTACGTCCCCCTCAAAGTCCTCCCCCTACTTCAAACACACTTTGTGAAGCAGGGTCGTCGTGAGATCTGATGGAATAGGTACGGGGGCTGCTGCTGCTAAGTACCATCCCGTGGAAAGGTAGCCCCCTCTTATACCTGGATCTGGTACCGTCTGCCTCTTCCCCAAAGTCAAAATGACCAGAAAGGGAAAGGGAAACGTTTTCTCTCCCTCCCTCTCTCTCTCTCCCTCCCTCCCTCTCTCTCTCTCTCTCTCTCTGTCTCTATTTGGTTTTTTGAGACAGGGTCTCCCTATGTAATTGAGACTGACCTGGAACTCACTATGTAGCCCAGGCTGGTCTTGAACTCACAGCGATCCTCCTGCCTCAGCCTCCCGAGTGTTGGGATGACAGGTGTGCGCCACCATACCTGGCCTTGGTTTTGTTTTTTGAACATGGTCTTGTTACGTAACCCAGGCTGGCCTCAGACTCACAGCAATGATCCCAACTCAGACTCCTGAGTGCTGGGATTACAGGTGTGCACCGCCATGAGTGACTATAATAAATTTTCAAAATTTAAATAATGGCTGTAATTTTGGATCTCCCCACGTACGTACCCTCGGATGTGTTCCAGAGGTCAGCGTTGTAATCGTACATGTAGACTTTCTGACTCACTACTAACAGAAGCCGTGAGCCAGCAAAATGTGCAGAGGTCACTTCTGGCTGGCCAACCTAGAAAAGACAAGATGTTTGGCAACTGTCACTGTCACCACGTCACCCTCGGCACAGGTCCCGACGTGCGTCCCGGAACTTCATGGCAACAGAATCCGCGGGTTCTCTAAGACTCTGCAACTCCTGGGGCTGCCTGAGAGCAAAGTGAGGAAGTTAAAGCTGGTCCTCGTTGTGCTCGGATACCTGGAGGTTTCTCTCCCTCACCCAGAGCTTCCCAGAGCCCACGGCCTCGGAGTCCAGATGACAGAAGTGTCCTGAGCCTGTGCGGGGGAAATTTTGCAAGACAGTAACTGAAAGGGAGCGTTCTCTCTGTGCTCGAGATATTTTAATAAAAACAATCAGGCTGGGGACGTAGCTCAGTGGCACGGTGCCTGCCTCCCAAGCACAAGGTCCTGAGCTTGATCCCTGGTACTACAAAAACAATCAAAAAAGAAAATTCCTTCTTCTTTTTTTTGAGACAGGGTCTCACTATGTAGTTGAGACTGACCTGGAACTCACTGCGTAGCCCAGGCTGGTCTCGAACTCACAGAGATCCTCCTGCCTCAGCCTCCCAAATTCTGGGATTATAGGTGTGCGCCACCACGCCCAGCTAAGAAATCGCTTCTTAATGTCTTCTACGTTGTACAACAATCTTAAACTTGAAAAATCAGACTAGTTTGATCTTTCCCGATGGCATCTTCCCCATCACTTGTTTTGAGCAGCCTTACAATTGTTTCCTGAAATCCTTACCATCATTGGTGTCGGTATGGTGAGTGGCAGGAGACTACTCTCAAAGTTATCTCTTGTGAAGAACACTTGCCGCCTGAAATAAACAGTAAAAGTTGAATTAGGATGATTTCACAAAAGAGAAAAAAGAGAAGCAAATAGAGATACTCTGAAAATGTTCCATTCCTGTGAAATCCCTCTTTGGCTAGGAAACATTTAAATAGCAACATATATTTGTTTATATTGCATGACTAAATCTCTACAGCCTGGGTACCTGAAGTAACATTATTTTTATTTTTAAAATTTATTTTTAACGTTATTTTTAAAAGGTGACCACTCAGGCCTCACTAGCACATATCTGTCATTCCAGCTATTTGGGAAGTTGAGGCAGGAGGATCAGAAATTTGAGGCCAGTGTGGGCAGCTTAGCAAGACCTTATCTCCAAATTTAAAGTAAAAGCAATGAGGATGTAACTCAGTGCAAAGGTCCTGGGTTAGATCACTGGTAATGTAAAAAAAAAAGTTAAAATGTGGAGAACCACATCAAATATGAAATAAAATACATATTAAGCGATAAGAGGAGCTTCAGTTTTATAATTTATATGCCTCTATTGCATTAAAGTAAATGATTTCAGGAGAGAGATGGATATATGAGAGACAACTGGTTCCTTCACGCAGGTACTTTTAAGATGGGAAAGTCTGTCCATGAACATGGTATATCATTTCTGTATTCAGGTTAGCTTTCTCCTACGCGGAAACATTTTATGGTTTTCAACAATGAGGAAATGCTAAGTTAATTCCTGCATGCTTTATTTTATTTTATTCAGTGGGGAATTGAGACAGGATCTCTCTATGTAGCTCAGGCTGGCCTTGAACTCACCGTATAATCCACGCTGGCCTCAAACTGCAGTGATTCTCCTGCCTCAGCTGAGACTATAGGCACGTGCCACTATGCTTGGTTGTGTTTAAAAATTTTTATTGATTCTCAGGCACTGCAAAAAAAAAGTTTTTATGGAGATTGCAAATGGTACTTTTCAGAATTTCATTTTATAACCAATCACGGCTGATTTATAAACCCTGACGATTTCTCAAAATATATTTTTAAAATTTCAATTGACATATGGTAATTGTTCCTATTTAAAAGCTACTGTGGGGCTGGGGATTTAGCTCAGTGGTTCTGCTGCCTGCTTTGCAAGCACAAGGTCCCAGGTTCAATCCCTGGTACTAAAAGAAAATAAAGCCGCGGCGTGGTATGCGGCTGCAGATGTGTAATGTGGCTGGTTTGGTTTCTTTTTCAGGTTTTTTGAGATAGAGTCTTGTGATGCAGTCCAGGTTGCCCTTGAATGCCTGCCATGCTTGTCTCCTCTACTGTGTGGCGTTTCTATTGTTTGCTTTGATTGTGCTCTGTTTCGTCTCAGCCTGAGGGTTTACCTCTCAGCCTCTTTGCTTCTCTAGTCCTGGCTCCTATCTTCAGTGCGTCTTCTACACAAGCACGAATCTCACAGCCCCAGATCCTCCGTGGCCTTTAGGATGAGGTCGAACATCTAGTGTTCTGCTGGGAACCCGGACTCACTAAGTGTAGTGCATGATGTTCCTGTTCCTTTCACTGCTCTTCTCCAAGATCACAGACATGTCAGCATTTCTCACTCCCACAGAACTCCTATTCATCCTTCAAAGCCCAGTTTTGACATCAACTCCTCATTGGAAACTGCGTAGACATTTTCTGCCCCATGCTTATATCAAGCATCGCCGACAAACTGTACCCTGCTATACAGATGTCTCTCAGCATCCTTGCAAAATTGGTTCCAGGATCCCCGTCCCAAGGATAGCAAGATCTACCAATATGCTAGCTAATCCCTTTCATTTATTTGTGACAGGAGCAATCCAGCTCAGGGGTACTATACCACTGGGTGACATCTTTAGCTCTTTCACTTTTTGGGACAGAGTCTCACTAAGCTGCCCAGGATGGCCTCAAACTTGAAATCCTCCTGCCTCAGCCTCCCCATCTGCTGGGATTATAGGCCTACACCACTGTTCCTGACTTCAAGTCCCTTTTATAAAACATGTAGTGTTTGCATGTAACTTATGTAGATCATCTTCTATAATTGACATAATCTCCAGCGAATTATAGTCCTAGATACAACGGAAATGCTACGGAAATACTACATTGTATACTGTATAACGATGAGGAAAAAAGTGTGGACATGTTCAGTACTGACACAATTTTTAGAAAAGATATTCAAAAGATAATGGGAGTTGGTAGCCTGCACCGAGGTGGGAGTGCAGAAACCATACTGTGATTTTCTTAGTTACTTTACTTCCTGGTGTGTTACCCTCTTCTCTCCACCCCTAGTCCCTGAATGGAGATGGCCTGCAGGCCTGCAGCCAGCAAGGCAGAATCTTTGTTAATGTTTGCTGAGTGACTGAATGACCAAAAACCTACATTTCCAGAGAAAGGAAAGGAAACAGAACACACAATTGCCATTTACCCTAGATATAGTGCTGTGGTCTTCTCACACGGATGTTTAATCAGGCATGTCATTGTAGATGGAAAATACAGGACATCCTAGAGAGAGGATCATGGAATTTTAATACAATCATGAACAATAAGCAACTAATAAGAACATTTTCCTAATGTATATTATAAACATAAAAGGTGAAATCTGAATTACATAGGCAGTTTCTTCCCGGACACAGACAGTTTTCTTCCTGTTTTTGTTTTTGTTTTGAGACAGGGTCTTGCTACATTGCTCGAGCTGGCCTTGAACTCCTGGGGCTGAGAGATTCTCCTGCCTCAGCCTCCCAAGTTGCTGGGACTGCGGGTGCCTACCACCATGCTTGGCTTCACTTCCGGTTCTTGCTTTTTTTTTTTTTTTTGCTTTTGTGTTTGTGTTTTTTGGTTCCAAGAATCAAACTCAGGACCTTGTGCTTGCCAGGCAGGTGCAGTGCCACTGAGATAAATCTCCAGCCCTTCACTTCCTGTTTTGATGTGGTTCATGTCAGATGAAATCACTGGGGGAGGCTAGGGAGAGTCCTCAGGACCTCTATGGAACATTGCGATTTATTTTGGATCTATAATCAAAACCACAGGGGAGAGACGGAGATGTAGCTCAGTGGCGCTGTGCCTTCCTCAAAAGCCCAAGGTCCTTATGTTTGATCCTGGTACCAAAAAACAAACCAACAAAATAAAACCCCACAGGATAAAGATTTATAAAACATCATCTTTTTGTTTTGAGACAGGATCTCACTATGTAGTCCAGGCTGGCCTCAAACTCCCGGTGATCCTCCTGCCTCAGCCTCCTGAGTGCTGGGATTACAGGGCATGCGCCACCTTGCCCAGCTCGTATCACGTTTTATTCTTATGTTACTGTTTATTTTAGATGATTGCTAAGTGGGCATGGTGACTCACGTCTGTTGTCCCGACCACTGGAATGCTCAGGTAGAAGAATTGGTTGAACTCAGAAATTCGAGGCCAGCCTAGGGCTAATAGTGAAATCCTATCTCAAAACAGCAGGGCCAGGGACGTAGCTCAGCAGTACAGCAACTGCAAGGTCCTGAGCTTGATCCCCAGTACAAACACAACGACAGCAACAACAAAATATGTCACAGAAGATTAGTTACTTGAAAGGGTCAGACGAAGAATCTCGGAGGTGACGTGTTAGAAACTTGACACTTGAGCATGTAGAAACGCAGACCCTACTTCTGAAGCTGTGCGATGTTAGCAGGAGACACCCTTGAACTGACTGGAAATTCTCCCTCTGCGTTTAAAGCACGTATCGGCTAACGTGACTTCACTTGTGGCACTGCGTCATGGGAACAAAGCCACAGGATTTGCTTCCTATGTGGCTCTGCATTTAAAAATCTCCAGCAGCCAGGCATGGTGGTTCGTGCCTGTAATACCAGCACTTGGGAAGCAGAGGGAGGAAGATCAAAAATTGGAGCCCAGCCCGGGCAACACGGTGAAGCCCTATCTCAAAATACAAAATAAAAGGAGGGCCGGGAATTTGGCTCAATGATTCCATGGCTTGCCTCGAAAGCCCAAGGGCCCGAGTTCAATCCCTGGTACAAAAAAAGAAAGAAAAAATGCGCTGGTGATACAGTTCAGCGGCAGAGCACTTGTCTAGCATGTGTGAGACCTCAGTTCAATCTCTCGTATGGGGTGGGGGCATCTCTTCAAACATTAAGAGTAAAATGAAGACTGAATAAAAACTCTGATGATCTGACTTTTACACCAGCTCTGCCTTTGGCTTTCGTGGGGCTTCGTGATCATTCTCAAAAATGTTTACGTGTGTGTGTGTGTGTGTGTGTGTGTGTGTGGTACCAGGGATTGAACCCAAGACCTTCACACTGAGCTATCCCAGTCCCTTTTTTATTTTCAATTTTCTTTCTTTCTTTCTTTTTTTTTTTGGTACCAGGGATTGAACTCGGGACCTTGTGCTTGTGAGGCAGGAGGCGGAACCACTGAGCTAAATCCCCGGCCCTTTTTATTTTCAGTTTTGAGACAGGGGCTCGCTAAGTTGTCCAGGCTGGGCTAGAATTTGCACTCCTTCTTGCTCAGCCTCATGTAGTGCTGGAATTACAGGCGTGTACCGCCACACTGAGCAATCTTTCTCCATTTTTTAAAATCAATATGGGAATAGCAGACCTTTACTTCGAAGGGAAATTAACTGTAAGGACTGGATGAGGCAACGTTCTTAAATTCCTGACACATTAAGGTCACCCAAGAAATACTAGGAGTCGGGCATGGGGCCACATGCCTGTAATCCTAGCACTTGGGAGGCTGAGGCAGGAGGATCGCCATAAATTCAAGGCCTGCCTAAACTACACAGCAAGACCCTGTCTCAAAAGAGCAAATCCAAAACAAAAAGAAATACTAGGAAATGTTCTTATTGCTCAGTAGAGAAAAGTGAGGGAAAACTGCAAGGAAGGAAACACATACCCCTTGAACTTGATGTCCACCATTAAACACTTTTCCTGTCCTCACTTTGCGAGCACTAGAGGAAAGTGACAGGAGAAACAATTTGTCAGTTTTTATTTATTGAATATTTAGTATGACTCTTCCTACCAGATTGTTTCTGGTCAAACTACAAGTACCTATTTTTTGTTGTTGTTTTTTTGTTTTTTTAACTTTCTAAGTCAGGGTCTTGGTATATAGTTCAGGCTGGCTTTGAATTCACTGTGGAGCTCAGGCTGGCCTTCAACCCTCAGCAATCCTCCTGCCTCAGCCTCCTGAGATTACAGGCATGCACCACCATGCCAGGCACAACAAATTGTCAAAGCACCTTGCTTTGAGAGCCAGAGTGGGGAAGTGGGAGAACTGGATACAACTTATCAGTTCAGATCTGGAGAGAAATCGCGCTGGTAAATCTTAACAGAAAACCTCACTCTCTACTTATTGGCTGTGTCTTTTGGCATATATGCCTTGCATTTCCCTTAGTTTGCTCTCACACCTGTAAAATAAGGAGTAAAACATCACTACTCTAAAAACTTTGTTGTGAGGACCAACTGGAGCCACACATCTGATGCATATTTTTACGATATTGCAGCAAACAGGGCCCTTAGTGAATGTAACAGTTCGCGCAATGTAACAGTTCAGGGCTGTTTCTGAAGGCAGGAACTGGCTTTGCCCCATCTGGCTCTAATGGTATCCACTAACCTAGCATTTACTGCTATCGAAAAATATATGGGCAAAGGAGTTAATCAAACGTGCATTTTAGGGCTAGGGTGTAGTAGCTCAGTGGTAGAATGCCTGCCTAGGCTGTGGGAGGCCCTGAGTTCTATCCCCAGTATGAAAACAAATTAGCTAATATTCTAGTGACAGCAACATACAAGAAACAACTTGTCAAAATAACTAGCATCAGTTAGTGGTAGGAAAAAGCAGCTGTGGGGAACAGAAAATAGAAAGGTAAGGGGAGGTGGGCGTGGTGAGGCGCAAGTGTCTTCCTAGCACTCTGGGAGGCTGAGGCAGGAGGATCACAAACTGGAAACCACCCTGGGCAACTTTAGCAAGACTCTGCTCAAAATAAAAAATAAAAAAGTCTACAGAGAAAGCTCAGTGCCCCAGATTCAGTTTCCAGTAGTGGGATTGGGGAGGGCGGGAGTAAGCAGGTGCCGTAGATGGACCGAGGTGCCCTGGCTGGGAGAACGGAGAACCAGGGTTCGGACGAGGGGCCCTCAGATCCCCAGGGGACACCAGGCAACACCTGGAGTCCTTTTCGACTGACCACCAAGGTTGGGAAGCAAGTTCTCCCGGTATCTAAAGGAAGGAGACCAGAGATGGTGCTAAACATGGTGCAATACACAGCACACCTCCGGGCGCAGATTTATCCGACCCCAGATGCGCGCAGCGAGGGGCTGCAGGCTGCGCGATTCCTCGGGCTCCTGGGCCGGCTTCCCTCAGAGCCAGGGAGAGGAAGGGCGACAGCAGGTCGTTGAGGCATCTGTCTGTCTGTGGACAGACAGCAGGGCAAAGTCTAGGGTGGGCAAGCGGGGTCGGAGCCAGGCCCGGGCCCGGAAGTGGGAACGGGAGGACTCCACAGGGGAACGGGCGACAGGGAGGCCCGATGACCTCTCGCGAAGAGGAAAGCGAAGCCTTCTGAAAGGCTTCAGCCCCAGGGTGAGCCAGCCCCTTGTCATCCCAGGGAGGGAAGCCCCACCGGCACAGTGGCTGAGCTCCAACCAGCGACCAGAGCCGCATGGTCGCCGCCACCACCATCAATATAGACATCAACATCTGCCTCTGATTCTCCGGAGCCAACAGGGTCACTCAACCGCCACAGGCCGTTGTTTCACAATCTGAGCATGCGCAGCGCAGACCCCGAACATGCGCACCGAGTAACCCTAAATCAGCCTGCGCAGCTCGAGGCACCGAGCGGTTTTACGGGACTTTGAGCATGCGCAGTTGTATCCCTGACGGCCCAAAATGTGCCCGCTCGAGGGTGGAGCCAGAGCCTCGGCACGTGCACACGGCGTCCGTTCCAGTGTAGTGTGAGCAATCGCACTGTCTTCCGGAAGCCGAACCTGCCTACACACCCCAAGAATTTTAAACGGGTTCCTTATGCTCGCGCGCCTTAAACGTGGGCAAAAGGCAGCCCACAAAATGTTAAAAGGCTGAGCTTGCACCACTACTGCCCCTTAGGCAGTTTTTTTTTTTTTTTTTTTTTTGGTACCTAGGATCAGAACTCGGAACCTTGCGCTTAGCGAGGCTGGCGGTAGAACCACTAAGCTAAATCCCCGGCCTAGTACTACTCCTTAGTGGTGTTAGTGCATTCCCACATGATTCCAAAGGGTTCAGAGCGGGATCGCTGGACCACCAAAGGGGACGGAGGTCAAGTGGGTGCTTGTGTCACGCCCACCTTGCCTCCGCCCGCCCCCGATGAGAACTGTCGGTCTCTGACCACGCCCCCTTGGACCTAGGCCCGCGCCTTGCGTCACGTGAGCTCCAGCCCGGTGGACGGAAGTGACGTCAGTGCCATGCGCGGCCAGTATGGCCGGGCCATGGCGGCGAGCACAGGCTACGTGCGTCTGTGGACCGCGGCGCGGTGCTGGCGCCCACCTTGCCTCCGCCCGCCCCCGATGAGAACTGTCGGTCTCTGACCACGCCCCCTTGGACCTAGGCCCGCGCCTTGCGTCACGTGAGCTCCAGCCCGGTGGACGGAAGTGACGTCAGTGCCATGCGCGGCCAGTATGGCCGGGCCATGGCGGCGAGCACAGGCTACGTGCGTCTGTGGACCGCGGCGCGGTGCTGGGGATATAAGTCATTACGGCGCTCACGCCCATGACCATCCCGGACGTGTTCCCGCACCTCCCGCTTATCGCCATCACCCGCAACCCGGTGTTCCCGCGCTTTATCAAGATTGTAGAGGTAATGAGCGCCCCCGCCTCGGCGCCGCCCCCCTCCTCCCGCAGCAACAGGTTAGCGCCCGAGTGTTTCCAGACTTTCAGACAGGAACTCTTGAAATGTCTCGGATTGGAATCCTTGTCTGCTCAGCTCTATTTTGGTGCGCTTGAGCCAAACTCCCCCTTTCGAGTCCCGTGTTCCCGCGCTTTATCAAGATTGTAGAGGTAATGAGCGCCCCCGCCTCGGCGCCGCCCCCCTCCTCCCGCAGCAACAGGTTAGCGCCCGAGTGTTTCCAGACTTTCAGACAGGAACTCTTGAAATGTCTCGGATTGGAATCCTTGTCTGCTCAGCTCTATTTTGGTGCGCTTGAGCCAAACTCCCCCTTTCGAGTCCCATAGGATCAGATGAGAGAGGTTGTGACATAGGATCAGATGAGAGGGGTTGAACCCGATGAACTTCGCACTGCCCTCTTGAGCGTTCTGGTGATAGAAATTCGGCAGCAGTATTGAGCTCCGCTTACTTTCCTGTGGCTCTTGTTAATTGTTTGGCAGCACGCCTTCAGGCGACAGTTTGAGAGCCTGTTTGGGATCAAGACTCATTCCCTCCTTAGGCAGCGTGTCTTTGATGGCTTGAGCTGTGTCAGAGGCCTAGATGCCACAGATAACAAAAATCCTTGCCCCCTGTAGTTTAGCTTCTAGGTTGGGAAGGGCAGTAATTACTACTAGAAATCGGATAGCAAGGAACGGTACTCGAGGCTGGAGAAAGGCGGGAAGAGGACCTGATTTATTCGTTCGGGAGAGTGTGTTTGATCTCCCACGATACGGTACTAAACCACTCAGACACAGTCGCTGGCCTACGGATATTATGTCTTGTTGAACGATACCATGAACCAGTAAGATCCTGGCAGACGAAGAGCTATGAGGGGGAAGGGAAGAAGCAGGGTGATGTAACAGCCAGAAATTAGTCAGTTCAAGGAATGTGAACTTCCAGAGGAAAGACTCACATGCGTTCTCACCCACCTCACCTTTGTTTTTCTTTTCTTTTTAAAATTACACTATCACTCACTTCCCTTTTTAAAAATTTACTTTATCCCCCCCCACCCCCCACCCCCGACCTCTGGTTTTGCGAAACATTTTAAATTTCCTGTGGAAATTTACGATCCCGAAAGAGAAAAGTTAACAGTGAACTATGTAAGCAAGGTCACACAGTGAGTCAGCCTTTGTTCAACCTCCAGCGCTTCCTTTGCTCTGCTAAATAAATCTCCGAGGGTCTCTTGGCCAGGGAAAGGACGGTTCAGGCAGCAGACCAAGAGTGGGCGGTGCCAGGAGCCCCCTCCCTCTGTTCTCCCACACCGCTGTGTGTGGCCTGCCCTGGGTGTTACAGTCGTAAAGGTTGACCCCAGAGCTAGACCAGTCAGCTTGTCATTCTTCACAGCCTTCATTCTCTCCTCTGTGAAATGGACATCAAACAGTGTCTTTATTTCTTGGAGCTCTTGTGGAAGTTCTATGAGATCCTGTATATCCCCCACCCCAGACTCCTGGGGCCAGGACAATTAAGGTCTGGTCCTCAGCCCTGGATAGAGATGATGCCCCTTGGCCCAGCCCTTGCCCAGAGAGGTGACCCTTAGGAGAGCTGTCTGCCTGTTTAGGTTAGCCAGGAGGGTTCAGTGAATCGTGGATGGCACTTAGAGACTGGCCTGTGGTCCTCACTTTTCCTGTTGGTGTGGCTTTGTAGGTAACAAAAAAGAATGGGGACTGTGGGTTAGGGAGACAGGAACAGGTGCTAAGGGCACAGCAGTCGGCCCTTGGCAGTGGGGAAACGGGGCACCTCTGGGAGTCAATAAATGTTTCTGAACCTTTAGCAGAGCTCGTCCTTCTTGGTTTTGGTGCTGTGTGACTAGCTGTATCCTCTCCTTACTAGCGGCTCAGCGTGAAGAGCAGTGGCTTTACTGAACAGTGTGTAGTGGGTTGCACTTCCTCAGTCAGATGTTCTGGGCTTTCTTCCCAGCAAAAGTACAGTGCATTTCTAGTGTCCAGGACTCCCAGGCGTAAGCCAAGAGCCCTTGTGGTGGAGTGGGTTGAAATACTGGTTCTCAAGTGTGTGATCCCTGGATCACCATCATCTGGGGATTTGTTTGAAATGCAGGTTCTCAGCCCCCCAGTTCTGTTCTGGCAGGAACCCCACAGGTGGGCCCTACACCACTCCTCCTGGTGATTCTAGTGTCCACCTGAGTTTAAGGGCTGTTAGTCAACATCTGGCCCAGGTAGACAGGCGTGGCGGTGCCCACCTCTAATCTAGCTACTTGGGAGGCTGAGGCAGAAAGATTGCAAGTTCAAACCCAGTGTGGGCAACTTGATAAGACCTTGTCTCAGAAAGGGCTAAGGATGTAGCCCAGTGGTAGATACCCCTCGGTCAATCCCCAGTATTACTGAAAAGAAAGATCTGGCTGGAGAAAAAAGGAGATAACAAGAATCAGCCGAGCTGAAGGACACCACATGTGTCCCAGAAAACAAGACCAGCTCTGAACCTGCCCTGAATGACATCGAGAATGTTCTGGCCTCCTGGGGGTTTGAACATCAGTGGATAGCACCTAGCTGTGATTAGGAAATAGTTTTAGCTGAAGATTGGAGGAATTTATCAATGCAGGGGATAGGCCATGTCTGAATTACACACAGTGTTGTCCTTAGGTTAATGAAAACAATGATTTTGGTTTTCAAACACATTTTGAGCTGGTGCACATCTGTCATCCTAGCACTCTGGAAGCCTGAGGCAAGAGGATTGCAAATTCGAGCCCAGCCTGTGTGACTTAGTGAGAAACCTGTCTTAAAAATTAAAAAGGACTGGGGATCTAGTTCAGCGCAGAGGCCCTGGGTTCAATCCCCAGTACCACAGCAACACAGAACTAAGACATTTTGCCCCTGGAACAGGTTTAGGAGTGAGATATTTCTTTTTTTCTTTCTTTCTTTTTTTTTTTTTTTTTTAACTCACTATGTAGTTGAGACTGAGCTGGAACTTGCTATGTAGCCCAGGCTGGTCTCGAATGCACAGAGATCCTCCTGCCTCAGCCTCCCGAGTGCTGGGATTACAGGTGTGCACCACCACACCCGGTTAGATATTACTTTCTTGTTTCTGGCCATTTGTCTACTTTGAATTTTCTCTAGAAAGGAAAGGAAAGGATCCCTAATGAAAACAAGTAGTAACTAGTTAGTCCTGCTTCACTCAGGCCCTGCTTTGTATTTTGTTCAGTTCAGCGTTCCCTGGAATCTCTTGGTTAGTGTTCTAGGTCGGATTAGCATGTCCCTAGAGAATGACTTAGAAAACCCTAGAGCCACTGTCATTTTCCCAGCTAGAACACGTACCCTGCATTTCACTTTGGGGTCATTGTCATGCTAGGTTAAAAATAAGAAGTTGGTTGAGCTGCTAAGAAGGAAGGTTCGACTTGCCCAGCCCTATGTCGGCGTCTTTCTAAAGAGAGATGACAAGTAAGTGTCATTTTTCCTTCATCCCTTCACTGAGGCTGCCCTAGCTCACCACAGTCCCGCACTGTAGAGTAGTTGGGATCTTTCTGCCCTGATGGAAAAGAAAGGCCAAGACTATGGCAGCTGCCTTTTCCTAGGACAGGGGTTGTAGCTCCTCCTGTTGAACCAATGGTCCCCAGACTATTCAACACCAGGGACCAGTTTCCTGGAAGTCATGTTTTCCACACACATGGCGATAGGGTTTAGTTTCTTCCTTTTATGTAATACAGTAACTCAGTCCCCAGCACTAGCATCACCGCCTCAGCCCCCCTCAGATCACCAGGCATTAGGTTCTGTCAAGGAGCCACAGCCTACATCTTGTGCATGCACAGTTTACAGCAGGAGCCACTCTCCTATGAGAATCTAATGCCTCCATGGTAAAGAAGGAGGTGGAGCTGGGGCCACGATGGAGCCATGGGGGAGTCCAGGAGACGCTGCCTGGTTGCTTGCCACCTACTTCCAAATGTCTGGCCCCTTTCCAGACCAGATCCCTGTGTTAAACTTCATGCATTGGGCTGGGAGTGCCACTTGGTGGTGAGCACTTGCCTGGGCTCCATCCCCTGCACC